CATTCAGACAAGCTGGCCTACAAAGTCTTAGAACTCTTGGTTAGACTATCTCCGAGATACTAGTATGTTAGCATAAAGACGCTTTTTTATGCATATAATGTTTCACATAGATATTTTGGCAGATTCATATCTCGGAGAAAGTCTATCCAAGATTTCTGAAACTTTGTAGGCAAGCTTGTCTGATTGGGGCCTTGATGTGAACAAAGTTTCAAGCCTAAATTCAAAACTTTGATTTTATCGGACAAGTAGGATCATATAGGAAAATTATGGTAAATAGTCGATATCTCAATCAAATCCCAACTTGGGTCCATATCCTTTTAGGCTTTTTCTAGTCAATGCATTCCCTACTTGTGGGCAAAATTTCAGCTCAAAAGCTTTTTGACACCTCGGGTGGTTCCCTCGTGAGACATCTAATCTTGCTCAGAACCATTTTCTCTATCAAAGAAAAACTTTTCCAAAAAAGACTTCGAACAGAAGTCAAAAAATTGATTTCGGGAACCTTGGTTTTCTGAAGACCCTCATTCAAACAGTTTTGTTGAAGTTATGTGATCGATCAACCCTGATAGAGAACCCTTTCAGCTACACAAATGTTTTATTCAGATTCTTATTTTATATACTACCATCGAGAAGGAAACTTACAAATACAGCCGCGCTAAACTTTTGACTACCACTGTATATATATTATTCGATAGAGCTTTTCAAGCTAATTTAGATTATTCAGATTTTAACCGTATTAGTCCAAATTTGTTACCTGAAAAATGTCGAAATACTTCAAGAGTTACTTATTTCCCAATAATAACCATTTTAACTTCTAAAGTGAATAATTCATTTTGAAAGTTTGAAACTAGAGAAGCACCCATTCCGAGAGCATGATGTTACATCATGTTCTATGAATAGGTACATCACTATATGAAACTATTTTTTCTCGCTCAACGTTGAAAACCACTTATAGTTCAAGTTCGAACAATAACATTTGAGCATTAATAAAAGACCAAAATGTTAACAATTCGTTCGTTCTTAATTTGAAAATGTATCTTCTCGTTTTTTTAAAAGATATACTCATATTTTACATATAATTAAAATTGATATTCAATGAGCTAGAAAATGACATTCTCCTTTTCTCGAAAAAGATTTTTTCTTCTTCAGACATTTTTTTTTTGTAATTTGAGTATTTTGACCTGAAAGCGAATAGATCAAATTTCCAGAAATCTCTCATTTTTTTCTTCAAAATGTAAAACAAATATAATAGTCTGTACCCGCATCAGAACTGAACACATTTAAATAAATATCAAAGATTTTTTACAATCTCTTTTCTTCTCGTCGAAAAACTTACTTATGACCCGATGAAAAAATCTTACAAAATTTTTGCTGATAATCAAATGTCTTAAGATTCATACTGTATGATTTTATAAAATAGATATTTAAGCAATTAAATGCATTCTACTTTAGACACTACTTGTTTAAAATTGAAAATACATCTACTATGTAATGGTGTCTAATCCGCTAAAAAAACCATTTCACAGATAATTTAATCAATTTAATTAAATAAAAGTAGGTTTCAGAGACGCACAAACTGCTGAATGGCAACACCATCTGAGATTTGACGATTCGTCCTCTTACGATTAATGCATTTTATCTTATTAAAACTTGCTCGATTACTTTATTCAATTTCAGTAACTACAGTTAATATCAAACACCAGTTTATTGCTAATAGTTTGATGATTAATTCTAAATGTAGTCGATTATATTCACAACAAGTAAACAATTCGTTGTGTGGTACGTTCAGTAGAAAAAAAATAAATGATAGTTATTTATTGTGATCTCATTCATTTTGTTTTTCGTTGTATTTGATCTTTTGAAATAAAGGAAATAGTAATTGTTAGATATGCTTGAGTAAATGTTTAGAGAAAACATTTGTTTTTATACTAGATCCTTGGCGAGACGGTGCTGAAATAGTTTTTCAGTTGCTTTGCGAATTTCCAGTAGATCTTCTTTTGCTTTGAATTTTTTTAAATGGATATTTTTGTTTTTATTTAGTTTTTGTGATTTTTATCAATAAATATCCATATGCAAGTAAAGATAAAAGACTTTCTGAAGAAAATAAAACGACACAAATAGAATAAAATTAGCTATGAAATATTGTGAGAAATACCTCGAAAGTCATACATAAATCGTATAAGATCTAACATTAAGATCATACGAGAATTGTACTGTACGATTTAATCAAAATTGGTGTTATAAAATTGTAATAGATCATATACGATTTTCATTTGATCTTGTTTGACCTAGGTGGTCCTTCATTAAATCTTACCGAAAAATTCATTTTTTGAAAACAAAAGTTCCAATACAAGAGATCATTTACTAATGTTACAAAGTAATAGTAAATAACCAAAGCAGTGTTTTTTTTTTTTTTGAACATATTAATTTTTCTCTCAGGAATAAAGAAGATCGGAGATGAAGTTTTCGATGAAAAAAAAAAGAGATCGCGAAAATCTGTATCATTCGCATAAAATTACTCTATTTTGAATGTAAATGCAGATTATTATGCTTGTTTTGAATCTTGAACAAAAGCTAAGAGCGTTATTGAAATTTGATTTGTGTGGTTTCAGGTCAAAGTACTCGAGTTACAAAAAAAATGTGTCTCAAGAAGGAAAGAAAAATATTTTCGAGAAAAGGAGTATGTAATTTTCCAGCTCACCGAATATCAGCTCTAATTATATGTGAAATATGAGTATATCTCTTTAAAAAATAATATAGTAGACACGTTTACAAATTAAGGGCAAAATAACTGCTTGTATCTTAATCTTCTTTCAATACTTAGATTATCTTTTTTGAAATGAAATTATATATGCAATTTTCAAAACATTGAATAAGAAAATAATTGTTTTAAGCTTTTAAAAATAAATAAAAACTTGATTAATAATCTAAATAGTAGTCTGAATCAACTTTCTAAATTCTATTGAATGATATATAAAAAAAAGATAGTATGAAAAGTTTGCATTGTATGTGTGTCTTGTATTATATTTAATTATGTTATTTGCTAAAAACATCATAAGTTATTAAAGCAAAAAGATACGGACAATTTCTCATATACGTCATTGAAAAACAGATATTAATTAAAGACTATCTATTAAATCGAAGTGAAAATGATTAGTTATTAGCGTTTATTATAGCATTAAAGATGTTTTGATATTTCATGTCTTTTGATGTAACGGAAATTACACATATTATATTTCTATACTTGGATATTATCTTTTTTTTTTTCGTGCAC